ATTTAAATATAAACGTTATTAAAAAATGATGATAAAGTATAATTTCTATACAATTGTTTTATTCTTATACAATATTTTAAATTCTTATATTGTAATAAAAAATTATCATTCTTAAAAAATAATTAAATCACATTAATTTTGGTAAAAGTAGAAACTACAAATGTAGATATATTTTAAATATTTTTTACGTGATATTTGATTGTTTGCCTCCAGACAAAGAAGATGGAAGTTTGGTAATTACCTGAGTTTATTGAAACGATTTTGTAATAAAAAGTTAGTGAATTCGTAATAATCTTTTTATTAGTACCCATGATCAACAATTTATTTTTTTCATTTTTATTTCTGTTATGAAATGATTTTAACGGGTGCATGCACAGAAAAAAGCACTCACCACCACTTACATGGTTGTACACGGCAAAAAAGTGATGAGAGGTTATAATTTTATCCTTGTATGATTCTTACCCTAGAAAATATCTTACTACAAAGCATTAGTTTAAATTGTTGTTTAGATTATTAGCATGATTAAAAAAGCCTACTTAGGTAAATCTGCTCTGTTTTAAATGTCCTTGCATTTTATTGCTCTTTATAATTTTTTTTCTGCTAAACCTAGCTATACATATATATAATTTCATGACATTAAGGTTTCTGGTTAAGGAATAACATTTAGGTTAATTAGTTAAATCATGTTAAAAATAATTTCATTAAGAAAGAAAGATAATTACAGAGAGATTATGGAAACTATTCTTGTACACGATAATGGCCAGAACAAAAACTTATTAAATAAGTAAAATAAATAAGAACTAAAAAATTATACTTTTCATCATTTGTTGAAAACAGCATAAGCATAATAACATAATTTAAATGGATTCATGAGCACAAATTTCCTTTCTAGCTATCAATTTATTACTTGCGAATCGATGTACAACTTAAGTAGTTTGTTTTGAAAGTAAAACAACGGATTCAAAATAAACAACCTTGTTGGAAATAGACGATGAGAAATTTGATCAAAATAATAGAATTTTTTTACTCCTAATTAAAGTTGATTTTTTTTTTATGATATGTAAAATTCAATTCACTCTATTTAGTTAATTACAAAAAAACCATTTGCATAAAAACAATTATTTTTTATAACTAAATTGAATATTTATTCATGGAAAAGAAATTAATAGATGAATTAGATAAAATTCATCCAGTGAATCCCAATATGGTTTTCTTAATTAATATTAGTGATTTTTCTTTAATTTATTTGTATTATCATCTTAATAAAGAATTATTCAATTCTTTCATTTCACATTAAGGAATTTAATTTAGATGGTGTGAGTGAGATTAGAAGTTATTTCCTTTGTTTGTAAGTAAGAAATATTTAGGTCTTTACACAACTAGTGCAGAAAGGACTTTAGACCGTCTATTATTTTGGGTTTTTAACGTCTGATCCCGATCCGACGTCTTTATGGGTGACGTTAATGAGACGTCAGACTCTACAGGTCCGACGTCTTTATAGACGTCGGGCATGACATTAACCGACGTCTACTACAACTCGTGTCTTTGGGTAGCGTAGTAGCACCTTCTTCCTTTGCTAGTTTCGCCATAAGAAAAGGTTGCATCTTTTGGACCTCTTATGACATTTGAACCGAACACCGAATCTGGGTCCTTACCTAGTTCCATTCCAACCGGCAATGAAAACGAATACGGTGACATGAGAACTAGGCAAGGACCCAGGTTCGGTTTTGGGTTGAAATGCTATAAGACATCCAAAAGACGCAAGCTTTCCTTACGAGGAAACTAGCAAAGGGAGAATGTGCTACTACGCTACCCAAAGACACGAGAAAAACTACACCAAAAAACAACGAAAACTCATTTTAATAGGTTCAAATGGAAGATAATCCATTAAAGACTAATTTAATCGAAGTAAAAGTAAGTTTAAACGGTTCAAAAAGAGACAAAACGCACCTAGAAATGCAATGTCGTGGAGAGAAAAGGCGAGAAGGAAGACGATGACGTGCGCGTAACCGCGGGTTCGATTTGATTTAATAGGAACCAAGACATCGGACACAGAGGGCACCAACGTCTATTCTCGCCTAGATGTTGGGGCTCTCACTAATATGACGTCCAAAACAACTTTTCCCCTACCCTGTCAGGCCATTTAGACATCGGATGGCGGGATCAGACGTCTATATGGCGGAAAAAACAACTTTTCACCTACCTGTCAGGCATATAAACGTCGATGATATGGGGCCGACGTCTATAATCGTATATAAACGTTGGGGTGGCGGGATCAGACGTCTATTTGGCGAAAAAAAAAACTTTTCATCTACCTGTCAGACATATACACGTCTGTTAGGAGGGGCACTGACGTCTATAATGTTATAGTCGTCGGTGCCCCCTTTAATAGACGTATATGTGTCCAACTTATTTATGAAAATGCCACCGATCAATAATTTACGTTAATTATTTTGTGGTCCGACGTCTACGGGGTGACGTTAAAAGTCAATTCTGCACTAGTTTTGAGTTATGATTTACTTCATTTTGCAGTCTTTTTAAAATTAAACACAAAAACATTTTTTTTTCATTAAACACAAAATAGAAACTATTATCATGTTGAGTGAAACGATTAAATATAAAAATTAAATTTGAGCTTTTAGGAATGAGATGATTAGAAAAGAATAACTTCCTCATCGGTTAGATTTCATTACTCATCAACAAAGTGATTCATAAGTATGCCAAACGAAAAAAAAATTCATAAGAATGGTTGATTAAAAATGCGTTTAACAATTCAACATCTAACAAGTTATAACTTTGCTTGACTAAATTATTAGTTGATTTACCAAAGTAAGTTTGTTGATACACTACTCTATTTTAGTAGTTTAACTTTTTCAACACTTGGAATGTTTAGTTTGTTTATCTTTCTTTACTTTTAACATGCATTTTTGGAAACAATCTTGAAATATGTTACGATATTTACCCCTCTTATTAGTATCTAACCTATGAGTCTACTTGGAATATGTCATGAGCTATGATGATGAATCAATGGCCTATAAGCTAGCTAGTAAAAGCTTTTGAAAAAAAAAATGAGAATCCCCTAGGAAAAGAACAAAAAGGGGTGGTCATATATATTGTATCTAGCTTGGTCGGGAACATGAAGTTTTTTGGATCATTTGCATTATTGCCCCAGCACATTTCTAACATGTAAACGTAGAAGCTCAACACAAACTGATCACCACATAATAGCTGCCAACCACCTGGTATCTGCAAATCTGATACTTGTGTCTGGTTGGCAGTGTTAGTATCAGGCTAGTTCTAGGTAGGGAAGCATGGCTAAGCTCTGTTGTTTAAAGTATGTTAGATTGATAGGATCTGATATAGAATTCTGAGTTTCTTTGAGTGTTGGATCTTAATACATTGGATATTTCTTTTATACGAGTTAGAGCATGCCAAGTACAAATATGAAATTTTTTGAAGTTATATATATATATATATATATTCATTTTTTGACTTCTTCTAAGTCTAAATTCCTTACCACATATATTGTATGATTATTGTTAGTATTTTCATATGTTCCAATCAGTGAAATTCATTTTTGATTCATGAAGATACATGTCTAGATCAGCAAGGGGTGGAAGAGTTAATGTATAGTGTAAAAACTTCAACAAGCACCATAATGTGTTAAGGACATCTCCGGGAGTCATGGACCATCACACAAAGTTGTCTATCTATTTTGTACCAATCTTTCTTTTCAGTGTCTTGTTTCCTTTTATTCTTTGATTTGATCATAAACATGAAGACGGAATTTCTTTTTCCCATCCTCAATCTTTCATTGTTTCCTTTTTGCTGCAATTGCAAATCGGTATATTAATTTGATTTGATCGTGGCTATGCTAATTAATCGGAATACGTATGTACGGGTATAATTATTAGCAGCGCCTCACTTCAGACGAGAATTTACCAGAAGGGAAAGATTTTTCTCTACATCACTTTCTCTCAATATATATAGATCTTATGCGTGTGATTCAATCTTTAAAACACTATATGCCCACTTTCTACATCATTATCCATTTGAATATTATGTTGCTGAGATAATTACCATACATATGCCACAATCTAACCTAATCATTATAGCTCATTACTATGAATTTGTCTGCTTTCATGTGTAGGTAGTTTCAAAACATGGTTTTGTACATACAAAAGAATTAAAAGGGGAAGAAAGAAAGAAGATGAAATCTATATATCGTCTTCGAAATTCTTTTGAGTAAAGTTAACCCTTGAGGGCTAATCGAAATGTAATATATGTGTATCACTTTTATTAAAAGGTAACTGGTTGTAAGTTGGGGGGGTCAGGCAGCATGATTATAGCCATTTGTCAATTCATGCATGGACATGTACTCTCAAACCTGACATTGTTTTGAGCTGAAAATTTCTAAACAGGGGTCAAAGGTATCTCTGCAGCTGCTGCTTACATTTTATAGCAAACTTTCACAAGAGTCTCAAATTAATATTAACAATTACTTTTTCTACCAAATTATTCTGCCCATGTATTCTATATATCTCACTAACAATAATTACACCCAATTTATACTGCACCACTACGGCACTTACAACAGATAACACTAAAAAATAAGCCATTAAAGTATCAAACCCTATACTGTGGGTCATTATTACTTTGAAACAGTACTGCGGATAATAACCAAGTTGATCAGTGGACTGGATTAATCTTACTGATAGAGATAGAATCTGGATTCACCAATTTTCTGCATAAAATTTCAAATCTTATTAAAAAACACCAAAAGCAACTGGAAGAATTACCAGAGTTTTTGTTTATGTATGTAATATATAAAGAAAAGTCCTAAAAATCAAGCAATATTTGGACTATGAGCACCAAGTCGCCGACTAATGAGTAAGCGATTTCTAATCGGCTCCCACTGGATTAGACAAAATCAAGAAAAGAGGGTCCAACACAAACCATTACCAAGTAACAATAATGCCTATTGGGAAAAATGATGATTGGTGAGATTGTATTATTGATGATTCCATACCCAATATAATTGCACAAACAAGCATCTTTTTTCCTATCTACAGAAACACGTACGTAGAGTACAAGGTAGAAATACAAATACGAGAGAAATGGAGGAGGAGAAGAAAAGCACCTTCAAAAGGGCCCACACTCTGTCCTCTCAAAAGACCACAAGACGTGATTTTCATCTTTCTCCACTGCACCAACTCATTCCTTCTCTCACTCACTCCCTCACCCTCTTATTTCTTCCCTAAACTCCATATCCATCACTATATATATATATCTTTCCCCGTAGCATACATAGTAACCGATCAACCATGTCTACCCAGATTCAAAACGTTTCCTCTCACCATGGTTCCTCCTCCTCATCTTTATCGCAACACCCTCCCTCCAATCACCAACCGCTCAGCCGTTATGAGTCACAAAAACGGCGAGACTGGAACACCTTCGGGCAGTACCTGAAGAATCAGAGTCCCCCAGTTGCTCTCTCACAGTGCAACTTCAACCATGTGCTGGATTTCCTTCGTTACCTTGATCAATTCGGAAAGACCAAGGTCCACTTGCACGGTTGCATCTTCTTCGGTCAACCTACCCCTCCTGCACCTTGTGCCTGCCCTCTCAGACAGGCATGGGGCAGTCTCGATGCCCTCATCGGCCGCCTTCGTGCCGCCTATGAAGAGCACGGTGGCTCGCCGGAGACTAATCCCTTTGGAGGCGGAGCTATTCGCGTGTACCTTCGTGAGGTGAAGGAGTGTCAAGCAAAGGCCAGAGGGATCCCATATAAGAAAAAGAAGAAGAAGAGAAACACAATCATTAAGGGGACTCAGAGTGCAAAAGATATTGAGCAACAAGCTTCTTGAGCCAATATATATCTATATATCCATATATGGACGGTAAATTTTTCATATTATATACGACGCACATGATTGTTGATTTATATATATGTTTAATTTTGATTCATGAAAGCCCCAAAACCCTTTAGAATATTGAATTACAAAACTAACTCGCGGCTTGATTACATCCATTAATATGGAACAGGTTATTATAGGGAAATTGGAAGCCTTTACAAAACAAGATAAAAAACTTGGAGTTTGCGTAGATGCTATTTGTAGCTTACAAAACCCTAGAAGCAGAATAAAAACCCTAATATTTCATTGTCGATCGGAAAGGGTTGGCCGAAACATATTTTACTGGCTAAGACAGTAAGAGTAATGATTAGAATAGAAAGAATAGTGTTTCTCTCCTCCTCCTCTCCTTCTTTCTCTCTCCTATCATTCAAAACACTGTTATTGCAGTTTCCTAATTAAATACTCTCAGGTGTTTGCTTTATGCGAAATTTGACCCTTTTGTGATTCTGCGAGATTTCTTGTGCTCCCCATGGATGTGTGAGCTTGATCTATATATCATACGTTGCATGTGATTACATACACAATCTGACGTAGTTAAAGGCTACAAGAGATTAAAGAAATACATATTCATATTTTTATTAATGACAAACAATTCTCCTTCGACACAGAAATTGGTGGTTTAACAGCATAAACTTAATTATTTTTCCACACACATTTATTCAATGTTGGCCATTCTTTTATTAATGGTTATTTGTCTGTGCATGTGAAGAGACAAGTGGCCTTGGACATGCCCTTTTTGTTTGTCTTGTGACTTTCTCTAGATTGTTATATACTACTTAATTGTCTCTTATTAGTGGAAGCTGACTCCAGTACTTTGTCATAGTTATCTAATGATGTCTGTATTTCTTAACAGCGTGATATGATAGAGCTCAAAAAATGCAAAAAGGAATTATTTTCTAAAGCAGAAAAGAATGAAAGAGAAAGTGAAATGGTACATTTGTTTTTATTAAATTAACAAAAAGGAAACAAAAAAGTAGCGTAGATAGATAAATAACTCGATAACCGATCACTTAAACTTATCTGAGGTTTGTGAGGGGAAGGATAATTAATATTCAAGTCCGGTGTTTATGTTCAAGCTTTATATGTGTACATGGATATACCAACAAAGGCTTCAATAATTTGTTGGCCCTACCAGAAATGTCCATTTGTCTCTAAAATAACTCTGACAAAGATCATGTTTATCACAGGGAAAGTAAGTTATTAAGGATTGTGTTAGAAAAAGAGAAAGTAATATTTCACTTTAGGGCTCATTATCCAGAAACAAGAATTATATTTTAATATATATATATATATATATATATATATATTAAAAGTATAGGATTAATAGTGACTCTCCCTAGATAAGTTTTAGTGTTTTTTTGTAAGATAAAGAAACAGACGTTCATTTACACATGGATATCAATTAATGGAGACACACCTCTTGCTCTAGCTTGGTCATTTTATCAATAATACTATTTTGTTTGCTTCTAAAAGAAATTAATAGGTACATATTGCCTCATTTTTAGTGCTTCTCCTTCTATCGTTTTGAACCATGCTTTCTTACACGAAATTACTTTCGCAGTCCGAGTTTTAGAATTCAATTTTCTAAAATCATAATCAGACCAAATTATAACAAGAAGGTTGAATATTATTCTCTGTTTTCTTTGTTTTCTTCACTGGTCTTTTTTAAATACATACACGTTTATATGTTTTATAGATTGAAAAGTGATTGTAGATTCTTAAATATTTTAGCTAAATATTTGATTAAACATTTGTCAACACATTAGTTGCTTCTTGTCTTCGTGATCATGCTCATTATCATATCGACATCAGATATAAGATTGAAAGTTAGATATTTCTCCACCATAATTTGTTCTTGAGTTCATGCCAAGTAGTCAATAATCCAATGTCCTATAACCTCATCCATATTCCACTGTTTTGTAGATAATAAGCTAGTCCCTTAAGCATATGATCACGGACTCAACTTCTAAAAATATTTTCTTGGAAATGTTCACCCCTTAAATGGATCTTGGTACCTTGAGACATAATTCACTTCACACTCTCTTTATTATGTCGTCCTAAAACAACATTTGGGTGTTTCTAGGATGCAGAAAATGACCAATCATGTCAATGTGGTGCAATATCTTTTAAGATCTCCGAAACGGCGCCCAATTCTGACTTTCTTCCTTTATTTCTTGAAGTTTCTCATCTGGAACTTGTATTAGGCAACTCACAGCTGCATTTCGTGGTCAAAATGTTCCTCAATAAAAGTTTGCTAGCTCATGAATAATTAGAAGTCCAAACAATTGTTTTCATTAGGGATGATGACAAGGATGGAACTTTTAAAAGTTCCATTCTGTTTTAAATTTATATTACTTAAATTGATCGAATTGTTTTAATCTAGTTTAAATTTGGATTTAAATTAGATTAAATTCATATCCATTTAATTGGAATAAAATTGAGGTTATTATGTGTGGTAAACTTAAATTAAATTTTATTTAAATTAATTCATAGTTGCTATTTTTACTAGATAATTAAGACATTTTTAAGATTAAATTATTAATTTTGACAGAGAAATCATGGATTATAACAGCACAGTTGTTTAAATGTTTAATAATTCTAATTGATTTTTTTTCTTTGTATATCAATTTTCTCGTTACTTATATTTTTTAAGCAATTTTTTTTCTTATCATGATCATATAAAAGACGTGTCATATATGCTTATATTATCTGCGCATTTTTAATACGTCTTATTACTTAATAGAATTTTATCATTTCCTCTAATATTATTCTTTAAAAAGAAAGTTGTCTTATAAATAAGACTATTTTTTATATATACTTTTTTTTAATTAGAAAAGGAATATTTATAAATGTAGTATTTAGAGTACTTTAACTTGTATACATTTATGAAATTATAGGTCGTGTTATAGAAGAGGAAACATGTACTTGAACTCTCCTAGTGTATTCTAAGTACTTCTAAAGTCTACCAATACGCACAAAAGTAGGTTGTCAACAAAATACTATCATAAAACACACATTACCCTTTTAGAGTCCATAAAACACAAATTATCCTTTTAGAGTTATTTTATAATGACAACGAAATCTTATCTGCTTATACACTAATGTTGTGTTGATATTATGAACAGATGTTCATCCTTCATGGTCTCAGTTAATCATATTATAGACTTGTTTGATAGAGTTGTTGTTTCCTTACCTTTACAATTGCTAGATATTTCTCTTTTGTGCTATAATTGATAATACTTGACAATGTCTTGATCTTAATCTAAACTAAATACACATTTACATTTTACATATAAAATAAAACACATATAAAAACAAAAACTCAGTCTTGACTAAACTAGATTAACATTGGTTTTTGGACTTTTTAAAAATCCAATCTTAGATCATTTAAAATAAATTTAAATTATTTGGATGGAAGTTATTATGTAGTGAATATATTTGGATTTTTTTAATTTTTATTTTATATATAAATATTATTATGTATTATTATTTTTTTTATATATGACAAAAGAGGAACATTTAGGTATTTAAACTCTTTTACAAAAGCAATCTTACGTACGACAAAGCATAAAAAAAAAGCTAAAAAAATACAAAATTACAACTACATAAAACTTTGGTACAGAGAACCCTACTCCTCCCATATATTATCATTTTAATAAATCCCTACAAAACTTACCTAGTGGAACGTATCAAAACCTATACAATTCATGATTTGAATTAGAAGGTACAATATTTTGTTTCCCATATTGCAGGTTCTATTTCTAAATTCTAAAAAAATTAGGTTTTGCAGTGGTAGCTCCATCTGTTCTACAAATTGTATTTTTGCATTCTGACCTTTTTCTACACCTTTCATCTAAGATTTTGTTCTTCTATTATTTGTTTTCAACTCTTCTTTTCATATGAGAGTCTTGTTACACTCACTCCTATTGCACTAACATAGTATTGTACCCTTTTAGAATGGCACGAAACTGCTACATTATACAATAAAAACACTCTAAACTATAGAGTCTTAGAGAAAAGTTAGAGCATGCAACAGAGAAAAAGAAAACCCCCACTAACGGTGCTAAGTATATCATTTTATCATTTTAACCTACTGTAGATATTTATCAAAAGACACGACAAAATGGTATTGAAACATGCATTCATACCCTGTTATTATTATGCATTTTCAAGGGTCCAGTTTAAGTAAACATGTATGTGTGTGTTTATGCATATGCTCTGCCTTATCATCTTTAAAATCACCTGCACAATATGCTAGGCAGTAGCCATTACAAGTTTCCAAAACTTATTTTCCCTATCCGTTTATTCCACCCCCTAATTTTTTCCTCTCCCAATCTCAATTCATAGCCTTGTATCTAATGTTGGTAGAGAGAACATTTTCTACATTTTTACTCCTTGTTCTTGTGTTTTTTACTCCTTGTTCTTATGCTTCCCTATGATCAATGTTACGTCATTAAGACTATTCATATTATATCAGAGACTTAAAAAAAATAATTACTCGCTGACCACAACCATAAGATTTGTAAGTATGATTTAATGCAAGGATAGATTAGTAAGATGATCAGGGACCTCAAACATATTATTGGTCAAATCTGGAACATGAAAGTTTTGGATATTTACTACTTATCGATACTCAAAACTTAATTTGTGCTAAGTAAACGCTTTTACTATATCTATTTTAGTATTCCTAAAAATGATTATTTCTATACATCCATTCTCGTTGGGGTGGATAAAAAACATCTGGTTTTGATACTTTCAACATTTATAGACACATCCCACTTTAAAAAAATAATTTTTATTTTGGTATTGGTGATTTTTCAATCTGGTTGTGTAGAAATGAAGAATTGTTGGTTATCATAAAGAGGTCAAGCACTGATGATGGTTATGAGTGAAGGATGGAAAGAGAAAAAACAAATAAGGGTAAATCGAGAAAGACCAGGGAAATGAAAAAAAGAAGAAGAAAAATTAACCATTGATTTAAATTCTCCAAATCTTAACAATTGTGAAAGGCTTACTTATGATGAGAAGAGATATGTCTAACTTTGTCACTGTAGATAAGAAATATTATGTATTAATGAGTTTGATGCAATTGATGCAATTGTGATAAGAAATGGTTGATTTGTTGGTACAATAAAGGAAAAAAGTTTTGTATTTTATCTACAGTCTTCCCATATTCTCCTTAAGAAAATTACTTTGTTGAGGGTTGAACCACTGTTTCTTTCTTTTTGAAGTCCATAAGTATAACCTTTAGTCTTCAATTGTAAAGTCCTTAGAATTTTGACATGGAAAGTATAGTAAAAAAGACACATTTCTTGTTGTTTAGCTTTCTTTGGGAACTTTAACAAAAATAAGCACTTTAATTAACGTGGTTCAATAAAAGTCTTCTCCCACTAAATGGGATCTTATTCTATATTGCCTTTTTAGACATATATTCAAAGGGACCCAAACATATGTGTATCAATTCCAACACTTATTTAGCTTTCTATCCTATTTCCATTGAAAATGGTTGGAAGTAATGCTTGCTAATACAAATGATTTGATTTTTCTTCAATCGTTCCTACCGAAAACACCTTTGTTTACACTCTTGATCTTCTACTCTTTAACTAATAATTTATTGCTTCCTAAACTTTCCCTAGTTCTAACTATTTTGTTTTTTAGGAGGTTTCCTAGCATCTCTTGTTCATGAATAAAAACATTATTTAACGTCAGTTCTACAAATATAAGTTACTTAAATTTAAAGAGTTATTTATAAATTGAAGAAAGTTCTTTATAAATTAAAGGAACTTGTTTATAATTTGAAGAACTCTGGCTTTACATGACAATCTCTTTAATTTATATATATATATATATATATATATATATATATATATATATTGAATTTTAAACAGATTTTATAAGAAATTTATTATTGAAGATAATTTTAGAAACCAACTCCTACATGTAAAAATTAGTTAAGACACTTACATAAATTCCACAGACAGATTTAAGTTTCATATACATCTTCTTATACATAAAATTTAAGTACAAACTTAAACCAGATAAAAAAACATTTTTATGATTTACTATGTCAATACTTTTATGCTATTTTATACTCTCTTTTTTGTCATAAAATATATTTATATAGATTTATAAACAAATTACTTGAAGAATAATGGAGACTACTTTACTAGTACTCAAACTAAGGTCCAAAAATCTAAAATTAATAAATAAAATCCACATAAAAATCCGAAACTAAAAGAAATCCATGTTCTATGATTCAAGAATTTGAACCTTTTACATCACAAGGTTTTATGTGTCTGCTGTTGTTAAAAATAATAGCCTCCACTTTTGTTGGCGTATGTCTGAGCATGAATTCTGAAGCACCTTGTTTCGTTGTGAAACAAATTGAAGGCTTCTCTCATCTTGTTCACGTGTGTGTGAGCTTGAAGTTTTAGTCCTTTTGTCATTCTAGTATGATTAGAATGCACTGTTAGCATGAGTTCTGACGGCATCTTTCTTTTGTTGTCAGAAATACACAATATTCATATTTTATCTTTTATTAAGTGATTTTAAATATTAATTTAATTTTATAAAATCAATTTATAAAGTAAAACGTGTACTTATATATTAATATGAAACTTGAAAATTAATCATAATATAATAATAATGATACGATAAATTTAATAAATAATAAACATCACTCAATTAGGTTTTGATAGTTTCTCATACATATTAAAAAAAAATTTAAATTTAATTCAATTTTATAAAAAAACTTATGTAAAATTTGTATCAAATTTGTTTTATCTATAATGTATATAGAATTTTCAATAATATTAAATCTTTTGTTTTGATTTGTAATTGACTCACAGAAAATCTATTAAATATGAAATCTCCAAATAATATTAAATTTTTTGTTTTGATTTGTAATTGACTCAAAAAAATCCATTGTGAAATTTTGTTTTGGAACTTGAAACAGCAGTTAGCATAGCATTATGCATGATTCATTAGCCTCTATGACCTTTTCATCTTGGTCTTAGACTCTTTCCCCAAGATTTTACCAGTGATGTTAGAAGGGTTTGATGTTGTTGGAACTTGAAACATGAAACTTGAAACTTGAACTAGCATATGCATAAAAGAAATTACTCATGTGTCGTGTGCATGAATCGTGATACATCCAAAGGCTAATAAAGCTAATGGAAATCGCTACGATTATCAGAGACATGTGGATAACAATAATATTTCAAAATTTGTTTTTGTTGCTTAACCATTTCACTTTGTTTTGACTGTTGTTTGCATGCAGGGCCATACGAAGGAGTTATTGGATAGAGCAGATTTGGCACTTTGAGAAAAGCACGTCCTAAGAAGTATGATCTCTCTTGGATAAAAAATTATTACAGAAAATCGCTGTGATATTAACAGAATAATCATTTTTAGCAATCTTAAATGTGTGTTAGAGATGTACAACCTTGTAACTTTTCTAACATATATGAGATCTCTTCCCCAAAATAGAAACAAAGACAATGACTACCTTCATAGTGTTGCATTAGTTTTTCCATATTCAGCATTACGCAAATATATATTTAGGCATTATATTGAAATAGGTGGAATTCGAACATTTGGACTAGTAGTGTTAGCATGCTGTCTCTTTATCATCCTATGAACTTTCTTGGACTTGGACTACTGAAAACGCGAAATGTAACCTTAAGCAGAGTAGAAAAAGTAATGCTTTGAAACAAAGTGTTAAGTTGAAACTTAGAACACCACAGACAAAAATTTTATAGTATACAATTTTTGTTGGAAAATATTATTGTTAAAAAATTTTAAGACCGTTTTTATAGTATACAATTTTTTTTAAAGTGAAAACATATATATAGTACAGATTTGAAGTCTATATTAAGAATGTATGGTACATTTTATACTAATAAAAATGTAATAAAAATGTAGTTTTTGAGAGAAGTGTCATTCGGGTAGTACTGGGAAACGGTAATTTTCTCGAAATGGTAATTTTCTCGAACGTGAGCATTTCTTGAACCATTTGCTCTATCAAGGGAATGGAATATTTGTGTTCCCGATTGGGTGGCAAACCTTTAGGAACCTCAAAAACATGAATTGTTCTAAGGTAGCCAATCCTAGGAAGGACGATATCAACACCCGTAACAGGTAGCATATAAGCATAACAATGGAGTGACCTTGAATAACTAAGGGGAGGTGGCGAATGGTTCGACTATACCGTTACCCATTTCACCAGAAAAATATTATAGAGCAAATGGTTCAAGAAATGCTCCGTGATAGGCTCATTCATTCAGCCTAGCACAAAAAAACTTCAGCCGGAAGAGGTTTTCTTTAGGTTACACAAACACCAATAACATCTAAGCCAATTATATAAGGGATCGACACCACTTTCTACCCAAAACCTTAAGGCAATGGGTTAATGGGTCTTTCACTTTTATATACTGCTCTACTTTCTCATTTTTATCCAATGTGGGACTTGGACTCACACTTGGGTAAAAGGTATTCAGGTAAGCAAGTTTCATTAAGATGAACGACGGTTGAAAAGAGCTACTCGTGCACTACAGGAAAAACATTTATTACCGGCGGCTTATTACCGAAGGCCTTCTGGCCTTCGGAAAATGTAATTTACCGAAGGCTTTTCCGAAGGCTTGTGTAGTATGACTTTACCGAAGGGCAATGGCCGTCTGTAATGGACAGGAGTGATTACCGAAGGCAAACGACCCTCGGTAAGTGAATGATGTATATGGAATTAGAAAGTGATAGCTTTCCCTCCCCTCATTTCGCGAAAACTCGTTCTTCCCCAATTTTCAGATTGTGTACCCTAACTCCCTCGACGAACTCACTCACTGGCTTGTGCAGACTGCTTTCCACCCTAAGCACAATCGGGATACGCTTCTTCCCTTCTCCTCCATTATAGGTGAAGTGTCCCATTCTCCCATCTCATTTTGTTTTCCTGTTTCTGTTCTCGATTACGCGTTAATGGTGGAAGCTTTTTTGTTCTAGCGTTTTGCAGTGTTCTGAGCTGAGGAAGGTGGTGGGTGGCTGAGTTGAAGGCTACCATTGTGGAGGGAGGATATTGGAGGACGCGGCATAGACGAGGCGGCGTAACCAGGGCAGTGGACACTGCGTGAGAAGTCTTCCAGTACTACTGCTTCAGAGCTATTGAAGGGGCTATACCGTCGAGGTCAGTTGTTTATTTCGATTGATGAACTTTACAAGCTAAGAGCATTTGTTCTGAGTTTGGTTGAATGTATGCTCTGAAGTTTATTGTGCAATATGATTTGTTTATAGAAAATATTGTTCAAAGTAGTCATTTTGATTGCTAATGTGTGTTGATTATGAAAACTGATAACAAAAACTGGATCAGAGTAAAATGCTACTGGTACACCTAAAAAGCCAATTTCAATAAGCATAACTAGTGAAATACTCAAGATAACATTAAAGCTGAGTCCTGTTTCACAATTTGGTGTGTCTGTCGCTGTTGAAGCAATCTGAAGGTTTCGTTTATGATCATGAACCCATCTGGCGTAATGAAAAACACTGATCCACTTTGATCCCGCCTTCTTCCACCGTTCCACGCGCGTATTCTATGTCCATTTCCTCAGCTTCTTCTCCACTTGCTTCCCATGCTTTTGACACTGTTTTCATTCATCTCACAAAACCAACAAACCCTGTCAGTTTCCTTTTGTTCAGTCATTTTTGTCCAAACACACTGTAATTAATTTCAAGTAATGGTATTAAACAAATTCATTTCCACACTGAACCTTGGCTGGATGATATGTGATTATCTTTTGGATTATTTTATTTCTTTCTTGGAAATTTGCTGGGTCCTCTACTTTGAAGCACACTCATGCATTACCCAATCAGTTCTGATCCTTGAGAGGTCTGCCTCTATAGTACACCTTGGTAATCTTTTTTTTTGCCATGGACTTCCCGTAGCCTGCAGGAGGTTGGGAATCTGTCCAAGAGCTTCAAGAGCTTGTGCTGCATTACACAAGACATTTTGGAAAACCTAGACAAAGGTGGTTTAAGTTGAGCTGAAAGAGTGTTTCTTCTTGTGAGTTCTGTCAGCTTTGAGGAGTGGCACGAGATGTGAGAGTAGGAAGCTATATATAATGAAAAACTCATCCCTGTCACACAGTCCATAACAATAAATGAAATAAATTTAAGAGTGGAGAAACAGAAAATGAAAAAAATAAGACACAAAAAACACTAAGCGGTGAATATAAATGATGATTACCTGCCCCTAAAATTAGGGTTTATGTGTCCCTTCTAGCTAGGGTGAGACAGGAGGAATAATGATAGTTTGTTTTCTTGGATTCAAAAATGAACCCACTATTCCTGCTTGGATTGGACACTCTGCCCTTTAAATTATGATGTCCAGTTCTTGGCTACAGTTCTTTTTCCTATAAACTGCAAATATTTTTGGTTTCATTTTTAAAAAACCGTGAATGCTATGGGGGGGGTTTCATTTTAGTATCTGTTTTAGTTTCTGTTTTAGTTTCTGTTTTAGTTTTTTTTAGTTTCTGTTATTGATTTGAGTTAAGTTCATATGTATGTGTTTTTGTGATTTGGTTATGAAAATAATTGTATGTTCTTTATGGTGCTATAATGTTTGAGGATTGTTTCTAAGAGAACATAGTAACGTGTGAATTCCATTGTTAGATCATAAGTACAATTTGATCGTTTGATGGAAAACACAATTTTTTGTGTTAGGTAAAGGATAATTCAATTACAAAATATCCATTATATATACATGTAAGTTAAACACTAGACACTGTAAAACTTGTTCACAGTCAGGACTTTGTTTCCTTATTTGGATTTAGTGAAACTTGACATATTATTCTAAGTAAAAATGTATGCAACCAGAGGCAGGAAGTGATAACAACATTGTCTGGTTTCACTAGAGATAGCATTCCTATTTCCTGGAACTGACCATAAATCCCTTCAACTTCCACTACTGACCTGGATATTACGTGAAGAGAGAACCAAAGTCATGTGGGTGTGGGGACTGGTAGCAGACCAAAGTGTTTTAGGCTAAACTTGTTTATCAGGGAACGCAAGTTCCAACACCAGTGAACGTTTGTTTGCCTGCTCCTTCCCCAATAGACATTGTGGGCCACTTTTCCTCTTAACTCAAAATTTTTCCATCACTTTGTCTCCATTCACTCATCCTTTTATCATGTCGGAATTTTTCACTTGCACACATTCAGTTTTCCATCTTTTCTTGTCTCCTGCTGGATGCCTGCATCTCATCATTTTTCGCCAAGTAAAATCATAAAGGGCAAGTTGCACAATATACGTTCTCCTTCTTTAGTTTGTAATCTGATCAAATTCAACAGTGTTAATTAGTACAGATAGAGTCCCAAACATAGTAAAAATAAACACGGTATTTTCAGACGTGTCTATATTGCATTAAGTGGCTAGATTTTATGCTTCAAACATGGTACTTTCGTTGATATGTTTTGGTTTTGGTATCTACCTTAATTGCCATAATATCAATGACACTTCCACAACTAATCATTTAATTAGGCGTGTAGAACCACAGATAAGGTGAATCGTTTTCCAAATTGAAGGAAAGCTAAAGCTATACGGACATGGTATGTGCCTAGAGCTATTTATCATAGCATTCAATTGCATTGCCATTTTGGGTTCCTCGTCCTGTAGTGTTATATTTTACTATTTTGAAACAATCATGTAGAATGACACTACCAAATACTGCTATTCTGAGCCGTGTACTTTGTTAATAGAACAGAAGCAGTCTCTATTTAAGACGAGACTGGTACTTACAACACATGCATTCTCACTTTAGAGGAGGAAATCTGCTAGAAATATCCAAGTTCAAGTTAATTTATCACAAACATTGTGGTAGAGTTATAGGTTTCTCTCATAGATTTCACCACTTGGAGGGTTGGTATAGTCAAACACTGACCTGGAATGTCAATTAGATTTCATCAGTTTCCTTGTTTAAATTTTGTAAACCAGTTGCCCTATTAGCAGTAGCTTATAGTTTTTCAACACCATAGAAACACTTCATTCCTCTTTGTCTTTCCACAGTTTAAATTCAAACATTTTTAATATTCGAAGGACTAACTTTACCAATTTAAAAAATAATACAAAATCTAAAATCAAATCTGTACAACTAAACATGCAGTTTTCTATCAGATTAAAATCTGCTTATATCAGATTAAAATCTGTACAACTAAATCAAATCTGCTTTTATATCATCACTCCCTTCACTCATGCCGTCATCCCAAGGTAAGATTAAAATCTAAATCTCCCATCCGTTGAATAATAACACCCTTCTTCCAGAATCCCCGTTTCTAAGTTCTTCAACAGTTGGTTCGTACACTGGTATGTTGAAGGACTCCAATTTTTCTTCTTCAATCATACCCTGCATTTTTTATATATATATACCTCTTCAATTATAAGCTGTAACCCATAGAGCTAATATTATTCTTAAGAGATACCCTAATAGTAATTAATAAACAAAAAAACAACTTTTTTTTACCTCCAAGAACATCTCATTGAGTATTATAGTAATTAGT